TGTTATTTTTATAGTATTAATATATATCTTTTTTATTTTCTGAAAAAAAATACAGTTTTTGATGTGTATTCCAACTCCTGTAATTGAACTGCCATATCATAGACAATAAAACCTTTTTTTTCTATATTGCTAAAATTCGGTCCTATAACACTCTATAGGTATCTGTTTTAAACAATAATCAAATAATATCAAGTTTTAGGGTTCCATGGAGTTTTAAATTTTGTTCTCTTAAATTATGGACATTATTCAACTAATATACAAGAACGTCAGTTAAATTCGCTCTTTCTCTCTCGAAAATCAAATGTTTGGTGTCTCGTTCTATTTCGACAGACTTTTCACCCATACCACATGGCTATCTATTAATTTACTTCATTAAAAGTATTTTATAAATTTCAAGTTGCACGATCGCATGTTTATCATATTTTCTTTGTTGTACGATCGCATATATAGAGTCGTTTCCGATCGCCAAAACGTTTGGCATGTGTTCACTTCAAACCGTTATTTCAACGCTTTCTATTTGATGAAGAACTTCAAATCGGATTTAAAATTTATGATTTACCTATTTACAATGCAAATGTGCCTTTTGGACTGTCGGGTATACGTAATAAGGTAAGAAATACCACTTAAACGAGCTTTATGTGTCACGTTAGGGCAGTCATGTTCAAGGAAAACTTAACTTTAACATAATATATGGTGATTTTTAATGCGTAGGGGACTTTTATGGTGTTGAACATGTCTAGTAGCATTTAAAAAGTCAGAAATGTTGAAGGAAAATTGCGAGGAAATAGGACAAAATAATGTTTTATTTAACCTCATCTTCCTCATGTAGTTGAGTTTAGCTATCCGCGTTGCCGATCGCGCGTTGACGGGGGTGAGCAAGGTAAGACAAAAATATATAAGCTTTTTCTTAACGTTTTTTTTTTTTCTTTTTAAAAACACAGAGCGCAGCTAGTCTTGTATAGATCTTTGGTAAAAATATAAAGTTTGTTAAAAGTTTACGCTCAATATTTTCTGGAAGAAAAACTGCTTTAAAAGAGCAGTTTTATACAAAATAGGCTAAAGTTGCTGGAAAACGTGAACTATATGATGTCATATTTCTAAATTAATGGCGTTTTGATCAAATTGAAAATTACCAATAAAGATACATGTAAATTGTACAGCAGTGAAACTTAGGGTTGTATATGCAGTATTAAGATATTATTTTTAAGGGCACATTCTAGACACTTATCATACATAGGTCTTTTGCACTTTGATGATATGGATTCAATGGTATTAAATTGAATTGCCAAACCTTTATTTTTTTCAAGGGGAAAAATGAAAATAGTGAAAAGAACTATATGCGGTATATTGCATATGTTTGCCCCCACAAAAGTCAAATTTTGAAAACTTCCTGAAATGTGCTGAATTCAATAAATTGTACGAGAAATATAAGTTAACAGAAAATATTATAGTTCCAGAGCAGTGTATTCACAATTTCTTTTTTTATGACGTCACAAACTAGTCCGATTTTATATCCTTTTTCAGAAAGAGGACAAAATGGACAAAATTTCAACAATTTAAGCTTTAAAATTTATAGAGCGCATGTGTGTTCAGGAACAATATTGACATATTTCATTGATATTATCATTCTACACATTATATCAAAATATTTATCCTGAACACACATGCGCTCGGTGACTTTTATTTAAAATATAGACGAAATATGTACATTTTTCTGCAAAATTCATAAAAAACTGAAATTTACGTCATATTTGTGACGTCATTACGTACATATGACGTCATTACTTATGAAATTATTCAGTGCTTTGAAGTCAGCATATACTCCCCTGTTTAAGGACTTAATTAAATATTACTCCATCAAAGTTTGATTTTTGGGGGCAAATGTTGGTTAATACCGCATATAGTTCTTTGATGGTTTCTTTAAAATAAATTCTCAAAAATAATTTTAAAAAAATATAGAATAAGAAACTGAATATATACAAGATTTTTCTGACATAACATAGATTTTTATAGGTTCAAATCTTGTCCTGGGATACGAATTTTGCCACTGGGAGCTCCTCGGGTGGCTCATACTGTACCTCTCACATACACTAACCTCCAATGTCAATGGTATCCTACCAAATTGCTGATTCAGTCATGTGATGTGTTTTTGCATTGTTTTCAAAATGTTGTACATTTTTGAAGTCGGAGTAACTTTGTGGCACGCCCATTACTATGTTTGTGCTAAATACTTTGACAAGAACTTTTGAATGAGTATATATATTAAATATAAAATGAGTTATAACAGGTTGGGGGGAAACGTAAATTCCGCTATAATATATAGTGGTATTTCACTATTATAGTGAAATTACTCTATATTTCCCGTCGTGGATACCCTCAATTTCACCCGATACCATGCAAGGCGTTTGAACCGCACGTCATGGTGGGTATTACAATGAACAAAAACTGTCATACTTGCATGTTTTGAATTTTGATAAATTTTCTACCGTTGCGTTTGAAAATGCGAGCACTCTTTTTTTTAACGGAAGTTGCATTTTTAACATAGCAACCGATGATTGCAGGGATATATAAGCCTGTTTGAATCTCACTTATTGCTCATTAATGTGCACGAATTAATGTTTGTTACAATTGTCAACTTAAACTGGAAAGGGTTTATTGAATTAAACAAGAAAAAGATTATTTCTGTCTGCATGGTTACGGGTATGGAGCCCCGTTATGGTAAACGGAAAGACCCATTATTATCGACCGCTGCTGCAGCCGATCTTTTTGTACATGGTTGTTAAATAGTGAACATGGGAAATGGAAAGTTATTTTTGTAAAAGTTTAGTATAATAATTCTTCATTGATAACATGTAGAAAATCATCAGTAAAATTTAAAATATTATTGTTATAATGTTTCAATTTCATTGTCATTTCTCATCAAGTTATTTGATAATTTTTGACTATATACTGGTCAAAAGAGTTTACAAAAGGTATTACATATATATAAAAGGAAATTTTGATTTTCCGGTCTCATCATAATGACGTGGGGCATAAAGTGCATGGTTAATAAAAAATCAAAAACTCTTTAACTCGTAAAAATTGTTTTGAATATGTTATAGCTGCGAATGCTGCCAATGATACAAGAATAATTTCGTTTCCATATTTTGCACAGTGCTTTGCAGCATAGCCTATTTTGCAAAAAAAAAACAACAACATAGGAATTATCACGTGCATGATCAAGTTCCAGGGTGCACGTAGTTCGGTCATTTTTTTTTCAGACTGTCTTCAAAGCAATACAATTTTTTTTTTTTAAATAAGTACGGATACACATATTTTAATGCATTTGCTCATCAGATATATATTCATCGATGTAATAAAGTCCATAGGAGTCTGAAGCAAATTGAAAGGGCGGCTAATTGAAAGTTGGGGGGGGGGGGTTGGTGTGTTAAACCAACAAAAAAGATAAACCCCAATTTTCAATACAAAGAAAATGTCTATCCTTGCAAGAAAGTGGGGGGGGGGGGGCTAGGCGCCCCTAGCACCCTCCGGTTCTGACGCCTATGAAGTCCATGATAAAAGAATTGATTGTAAATGAAAATATACGCTTCTCAAGATTCTACTTCAGCTTTGAATATCTTGCACTTCCATTGCATGGATATGCTTTCAGAATTGTGAAAGTACTTTTTCAAATGCTAAATTGTTTGCGGCTAATTTGATGTTTTACATCAATTTTTAATTGTGGAAAATACGAATTGAGTCGAAGATATTTTAGACACTTCTTATGCTGAGCAGTGATGATTTGTTATTTGGAATTTTCTCGTAGTTTAAACAATAATACAATTAATAGCATAAATCTAAAAGTCTGAAAAATTAATACTTTTAGTGTGATTTTTTGCTATATACTTTCATTTCATATGAATATAATTAGATATGAATATTTTTTTAAATAACAAGAAAAATAACTATAGCTATTTCTCTCAAATTTTAAAATTTAATCATTTTTGCCTAAGTGCATAACCATGAAATGTTAAATAAGATACTTTTGTGCAGAGTTAAAAAGATTGTTGAATCATAATTATTTGAACATGTCTTAAAATAAGGTTACAGACACTCTTGTTAAATATTACCGACATCGAAATAAATTGAGTCTTTTTTACTGAAATAAACAATTAACCAGCCGATATTTAAAATTAGATATATTTTCTGAGATCGTTTATATATGTAATTTTTGGATTATTTATTATCAATTGATTTTGTTAAGAGAAAAGATATCGAGTTTATCAATACACTCTTCTTTCATGTTTGCTATTATGGGTCTTTCCGTTTACCATAACTGGGCTCCATACCCGTAACCATGCAGACAGAAATAATCTTTTTCTTGTTTAATTCAATAAACCCTTTCCAGTTTAAGTTGACAATTGTAACAAACATTAACTTGTGCACATTAATGAGCAATAAGTGAGATTCAAACAGGCTTATATATCCCTGCAATCATCGATTGCTATGTTAAAAATGCAACTTCCGTTAAAAAAAAGAGTGCTCGCATTTTCAAACGCAACGGTAGAAAATTTATCAAAATTCAAAACATGCAAGCATGACAGTTTTTGTTCATTGTAATACCCACCATGACGTGCGGTTCAAACGCCTTGCATGGTATCGGGTGAAATTGAAGGTATCCACGACGGGAAATATAGCGTAATTTCACTATAATAGTGAAATACCACTATTATAGCGGAATTTACGTTTCCCCCCAACCTGATAAAGCGGTTCCAGCCTAGAAGAGTAAGCCGAGTAATGTCGAATCTGGTTTGGCAGCTATATAGGGAGACCTTTTCCATGACATGGGAATATATGATTGTTAGAAAAATTTTCAAATCTTCTTGAAAACAGTAGGGCCATTATTAGTCGAAACAAAATTGATCATCTAAAGAATTTTAAAACATTTTTTCCAGTGACTGTTTATAATACAATTGAATTATATACATGTCTTTGTACATGCACGACACATTTTTGGTCTTTTAAGTAAAAGTAGAAATATTTTCTGCAGTTTCAGTCAATGCCCGCTTGGTTCGTTCAGTGGCCTTGAAATATTCAAAATCGAGGAGACGGAGGAAACTTCCCTCATCATTCCCACCATAGCACCACAACCACCCTTCTCCATCAACTGAGAGAGACTTCAAGTTTGTTAAGCCATCTTCTGGCCAAACAACAATTCTTAGAAACTGACCGGCAATATCCAACATGTGAATGGAATAATCATTTTTGTTCGCAACTAAAATGTTATCGACTGGATCCAGACATGCAGATGCCACTGAGAATGACGAACTTATTGAAATATTGTTTTCAATATTTCCCTTGTAAGTAAACAGAGTTGATAATTGTTGATCGTACACTTGTACCGCATTTGATCTATTAACGATTGCGATTTGTGACTTGGAGTCTTGCAGAACGCAAAGTTTTGCACCTGCTGCTCTGAAAGAACTAACATTCTCTTCCTTCGAAATAATGTCTGCTTGGGCATTGTCTTTTATTCGATATATTGATAATTTGTAATCGTAATTACAATTTCTAGATTGTTCAGTTAGCAAAGATAAACCAACTTTTTCATTTTCTTCTACTGTTAGTATTTTCCCCAAAAAAATCCGTGGGACCGAAAACAAAGGCATACATTTTCCGTTATGTAAGTAAAGCTTCAGTGCTGACCTATCATTGCTAATAAAAAGGATCCCACTTCCAGACGAATGTCCAACACAACTGTCCACACCCTGAAGCACTTCACGCACAGAATTGTCATCTGTTACAACAAAGAGCTTGTTTCCAACATGTAAGAACATTTTCCCTCCAGAAAATAAAACTTCTCCGAACTCTTTAACTGTTTCAATGTTCGATTTAAACTGGGAACAAATAATTCGATTTTCTTGGTTTTTAATTTTCCTATCGCAAAAAAATATTTTGCTTTCGCTTACTTCACGAAACGGAGATTTCCTATCAATTTGCCGGTCTTCATCAGAGGATTTCGATAAATCTTGTTGAATTACCAAGTTTCCGAATAGCTCATCCACTTTTTTTCCACCAGAACTCTGGAAAGTTTCAAATGTAACATTCACTGGGTCATGAAGTTTTATTTCCCCTTCAAGCCGTCGTAGTTCGCTGTGACATTGCAGTATTTTAATACAGTTTGTTTCCGATTCTGTGTCAAAATTAGGAATGTCTGTAAAGTTACTTATATCTTTCTCACTTTCTTGAATTTTTTCTTTACATTCAGAAAAAGCATCAGATACAGTATTCTTCAATATTTTCCCAATATTTCTCACCTCTGCCACAATGGCGTCTTCCCTGCTGCTAATTTCCGCGATAAGTCTAGTTTGCTTTTCTTCTAAGGTTTTACGCTTACAAAGCAGTTCACTTTTCATTTTTTCAATCAGGGAATTTTCTCCATGCAAGGATTCCATCAGTTCTGCATGCCGTTCCTGAAAATAAGTAGACGCCTTGCATATTTTGTGTTGTAGATGGGAGGTTGTTAAACACGTCATACAGACTGGACACTCACAATCCTCACAATATATCGACACTAAGTTCTCCTCGTGAGATTTGCACATTAGATACTTTGTATTGGGATCCATAGTGAAAGTGGTACATGTACACACAATATTCAGTTGATGTTTGACAAACTTAACACAAACATAGAATGGTTGTGCCCGCCCCAGTAAATGATTACGAAGCACAAATCGTGAAATTATAACACGATTTCCTTACTTCATCATGTTCATGAATATGTACACTTAATTAACTTTTGAAATACTTAAAACCATGACTCGGTTGGAAGGCAACGCGTTTTGTCGGACCCCCCTACCAAACTGATTGCCTGAGGCCTAAAGGCTAACTTACTAGGCTACGTATCACTTGAGCCGATAATGAAACAGGGTGAACTAACACAAACATAGAATGTTTAAAGATTACGTTTAAAGATCCAAGATATAGAACTAATTATTATTTTTAAAAGATCAAATTATTAATACATGTAATACGCCGATTTAAAATCAAGAAATTATTTTAAAGAAAGGGGCTGAAAGGATACAATAAATATTCAAGGAGTGCAAAAAATAACATTTTTTAATATTATATACTTTCATGTAAATTAGTTGAATCTGATTGGTCGAGAAACATTTGCTAAAAAACACTATTACCCGCTGAATAATTAAGCCACGCCCTCCAGCGTAGCAACAGTCAACATTGCTTGACGACGGATGGTATTACAAAAGATAGCTACTGCGCAGAATTTATGCGCACACGGTTCACTGTTATATGTATTTGTTTAAAACATTCCGTATAATATAAATATTGCATGTAGTTGAGTGTAACATTGAAAATTTTCATCCCTCGAAAACCAATGTCAACCTCGGCTGCGCCTCGGTTGCGCCTCGGTTGACAATGGTTTTCTTGGGGTGAAAATTTTCAATGTTACACTCTACTACATGCAATATTCATATAATGTGTCATATTATACCTTGTTAAAAGGACTATGATTTGATTATAATTCTTTTTTCTATGTAAAGTGTCCGGGTTCGCTTTAGTTTTTTGACACCATATGGCAGGAAAAAAAACAAATCAAAATCCTTTTAAAACTTGATTTAACTCTGATTTATAAATCAGTCTTTAAATCCTGTCAATTGTTTCTATGGAGTTTTGTCTAGAATATGATATACGAGGTTAATTATAAGCATTGAATATTTTGATTTTACTAAGGAATTGTTCATTCAACAAGCAGAAAAGATTATTTAAATCGAATCCTTTTAAAGACCTCATTTAAAAAAAAATATTATGAATCAAGAATATCAACAGTAACGTTAAGATAATTATCATTTCGTCAGTTCTATGGTCGATACAATCATGACCTTGTCAACAAATACAATTTATAATTCAAATGCTGAAGGATTTTTTTCATACTGATAGTTAAGACATTATTTACACACTGAGTTGTCCATGGATTTTAAAATTGTTTTAATTTTTCGTACAATAATATAAACATAGCGGAGAAAATATAAAGTGCGAAAAATGTTCTTCCCCAAACAATCTGTCAGAGGAAGCTTCGGTTTACATTGCAAGCAGCAGATTTCCATCAAGATTTACTTCAAGTAATCCTGTGAATGCATCATTTATATAAATTTTGATATCAGTGAATAGAGTCAGGAGAGAAAAAGGATCCGTCATGATGAGAGAGATGAGGAAGTCCAGTCTGATACTGGTTGCAGACATTCTTTTTCTTTCTGTCATATATCAAACAAAATCATTTTCGCTTCTGACAGGAAATGACTCCAATGGCATTGGAAATCTTGGAAATACTTCATCACCAAGAGAGGCCGATATTTTACGACAAATAGTAAACCAGGAAAGCCTTGTACGGATGTCAATGGTACAAAGTCTGCAAGCTCTGATGGTGGACATGTTAACATGCAAAAACAACTATGAAACGTTGAAAAAAGAATTTGAAGACATTCGGAAAGAAAACCAAGAGATAATCAAAAAGAACTCTGACCTGGACCAGAAAATAACGAACTTAAGCAAGACTGTCAACCTGGATCGATTTTCTTTGGAAAATTTTGAGAATGGACAGCAAAGTATCATGCAGCAATTAAGTGTGGTCAAGGAAAATCATCGAGAATTAGCAGGGAAAGTAAACAACACATTGGGGTCTGTTAATGAAGATCTTTTAATTGCAAGTAGTAAGTAATATAGTTACAGGAATCTTTTTTAAAATATCAGGTCGAAAATCATATACTTATAAAACGGCTTAAACAGAAAAATGTGTTTACATATACAAGAACATGAAAGGTATTAGCTGTGTAATGATGGGTCCATAGCATATGTCGGAATTTAGGGTAGGGCTAAAATTTGGAAGATATTAAGACCGCGAAACATTAACTGGCAAAATTGGAAATATACAGCTACGTCATTTCTTTCTGTTACAATCAAAACAATCAGTGATAGACAATGAAATGGCAGGTACAATTCGACGCGGACGTGGGGAAAACATCTGATTGAAATTGCAGATCGAAATTCATTTTCAATCGACCTGAGCTGTTTTCAAAGCAAAGAGTGAAAGTATGATCCAAAAATCAACTAATTTCAACGTTCAAATACATATTGTTTGAAGTTCACATTAATATGAGTTTTAGTTTATAATTTTAAGAACGCGAAGGATCATAGAAGACAAAGATTACGAGTATTTTTCAGGAGATATTCGATTCTACATTGTATAAAAATTGTCGAGTCAGGTCATGGCTTAACATGACAATATATTTTATTTTTAGGATTATAATAGTACATGAGTTTTTTTACTTATTCTCACTGAAAACTGTTGGACAACTTTATTTAAAAATCGTTCAGCCCCCCCCCTCCCCCAACACAAAGATATGTATAAATTTACCCAATAGAAATATAATATTTGTCTCTTAAATATTAATTTACAGTATTAAAAGCACTGGACCAAAAAAATTCAAACTGTACCAACATTGAAATTATTTGTCATCTGGGTCAATCAGTACTAATGTACCTTCTAGCGTAGCTGAGGTGGATTGAAAATGAATTTCGATCTGCAATTTCAATCCCATGTTTACCCCACGTCCGCGTCGAATGATACCAGCCCATTTCATTGTCTATCACTGAATGTTTTGATTATAACAGATAGAAATGACGCAAGCTGTATATTTCTATTTTTGCCAGTTAATGTTCCGCGGTCTTATGTATAGAAAATATCAGCTAGGACATGTAAATCAGATTGATATGTGAGCATTCCGATAAGTTGTGGGTTCAAGTTTGGAATGTCTTTATTAATGTGGGCTAGAAGGATCCCAAAAATGTTATTAAAATGTATACAATTAACAAGAGGAAACATTTTAAAAAATCTAAGTAGGAAAAGCAAAACCAGGTTAACTCAGGTGAGTTATGTGGTCTGCAGGCCTACAACTAATTATTCTCCCTCTTATTTTGTGAAAAACTTACTGATTCTTATGGTTATTGCCTTTACAGATCATGGGGTTGCATTTTCGGCATTCATGAGTGCAGCAAAAAACTACGGACAAGACCAGACATGGATTTTTGATACCGTTTTGGTCAATGAAGGCAATCACTTCAATAGGGCAAGTGGAACATTTACGTCGCCGTCTACTGGTACCTATGTTTTTTCGTGGGCAACACTTACAAACCCAGGAAACGCAGCACATCCCTATCTACGCGTTAACGGTGTATACAAGGGCAAGACAGCATTTAATCAGCAAAGTTCGAAAGAACAACTCTGGAGCAGTGGTTCAAACTCTATCGTTCTTTCCTTAAAAGAAGGGGATCGAGTTAACATTGCATCAGGATATCTTGGAGCGTATGCAAGGGAAGAATTCTCCTCTTTCTCGGGATGGCAACTGTTTTGATGCTAGCCAGTAAAGGATTCATATTTAACGAATTCTGGAAGTTCGTGATTGAACGTTCTCTATTGTGTTGTTTTTTTAGATACGCTACAGGAAAAATGAACAATCTGATGTAATATTGTTCACATATTGTTGAATCTTTAGTAAATTAAGACTTGCTTATTTGATTTAACGACACATACATGTAGTACTGTAGCACGCAGTATCATATTGAAGGTACATGTATGAAACAGTGGCGGATGAAGAGGGGTCTTACGTCGATTGCAATCCCCCACACGTTGAATTTACTAATAAGAGACGGAGACAGATTGAGAGAGTGGAGATACTAAAACATTTGTCGTGTTTTTGATAGAAAAGGTCCGGTGAAAGGCTAATTATAGTAATGAATGGATAAATTCGGTATTGAAAATAAAATGGACTTAATTTATTGTTTTTTTCATTTCTTTTCATTTTTTGGACCAAAAATTTCAAGAAATCCATAGTTTTTTCCCTCGAAGGGTGTATGGTATAGAACCCGGGATAAACCCCTTTCATCGTTGAGTTTACCTGAATAATGAATTATTTTCCTATGTTTCCAAATAAATTCTTTGTAAACCCAAGCCCAACCAATTAAGGAATGTTTTTAAGTTTTGTGTGAGTTATTGGTGTGTGGATCACACAGACTTTTCACGTAGGCGAGCGCGCGTCATGAAAAATATTCCTACGGGCAAGTCTGTGTGATTCACACACCAATTATTCACACAAAACTTAAAAACATTCCTTATATTTAGATTTTAGGCCATCCTTAAAAAATTGTTTTTTTGCGGTAACGCGACCGACTCACCAAAATCCACCCGACTGGATTTTTTTTATAGGTTCAAAAAAAATCTTTTTTTTTTTACGTATCCGTTTTCCGTTTTTATCCGATTGATATTTTTTTACGTGTTTATTGCACTTACGCCGTTTTTATCCGATTGATATTTTTTACGCCTCGGTTACACGGACGCTTTATCTTTCCCCCAAGTATTAAAATATTATAAAACGTTTTCGTGTTCTAGAAATCTAATGATGGCTTCCAAGAAGGTTTTGGAAATTATTGACAGTACAGTTCTTTCAGTCACAGTAAAATTGAAAGGGAAAATATCTAAAACACTGGTTCAAAATGCTGTGCGTCAGTTTCGCCTAACCGACAGATGGTACGATGTGTACGAGATAGTCACGGAAGCGGTGGCGGACGATATTCCACGTGGTATTGACGAGAAATTCGAAAAAGTCGCTAAAGTTAAAGTTTGTAAGGCAAATGGAACCGAATCTTTTAATCCATGTCCTTACGACATGATAAAACTTGTGCATGAATTTGACAAAAACTTGAAACATGTCACGATTGAAATAGAATATGAAGATATATCTAAAACTGATGCCCTGAAAGATCATGGAACAAGGAGCGCCTTTGATGTGCTTATGAAAGCAGCAGTCGAAATGAAAAGGCCTCCCCCTATACCTACTGATAAAGCTAGGTACAGTGGTAAGTTGATTATAATGTATGCCCTACATTAAAACAATTTATATCTATGTGAAATTTACTTTTTAAAATTTTATCTTTTAAAAAGATTGGGTCTTCAATAATGTCATTTTATTTTCCCAATAGCAAAGGACCGTCTTTATAACGATGTCTTAAATGACATGAACGACATAAAGTTTCCTGCACATATGATAGCTGCAGATGTAAAACAACAAATGATGATCATCATTGATGCCCTGTGGTACATCGATGCCCACCATATGAAAATCAATGGGAAAAGTACAAACAAAATTCCTGAAAGGTACATTTTAAATTCAAAATATTAGCACAAATAATATAAATTGCGGAAGATAATTTACGTGCATCCAAATATTGTTTAATAGAATCAATTTTAAAATACATGTATTGTATTGTTACTTTAAAAGAATTTGAACAAGTAAGTCAGAAATGCACATTTTTAGTTAAATTGTTTAAAACATTGAAGATATATAAATTTCAGATTTGAAAAGTATAATGGTTATGATGATTTCAAGAAGAAAAGAAAAGCACCACCAAGTTTGAGCGCTAATGAACTTAAGCGGCACTCCAGTCTATTATTTCGACTGTCATCATCAACCTATGCCAGTCAGTGGACAAACACAGCTAGCGAATTGCAGAAGCTGTCCATTTGTTTACAGACATACGCTGCCTACCTCGATGAATCGAATGTTCAGCAGAAATTTCGACAATCCTTGTCTCATCCTGTGCGGCAAGTAGGTACACATTCTGTTGTAAGAAACTTACCCTCGACTGACAAACCTGTGGAAAAATATTTCATTCTAGAGCAAGTTCTCAAAGAATCCGAAGAATATACACCAATATACTTTGACGAGCAATTACATATCAAAGAACCCTTTTCAAACAAAATGCAGAAAGTTAGGTTTGTAGCTGAAATGACATTTCCTTTTGCTGTTGATGTCTTAGAATATGACCCAGGATCAGGACTTGGGAAAGTTATTTTTTTGTGGAGAGCACCCGATGACAGGTCAACCACCGAAATGATTTCATCAGCAACCAGAATTCATAAAATCCTTGAGGGCAGGTTACCAGAATATCATACTCAAGAAATGAGACGAGAATTTAAGAAAACCTATCAGCGATTTGTCCACATCCCAGATTATATACTGAGAGCTATGTACTCTGATTTGACATTAGATGCTACAGCATCACAGAACCCAAGCATAGATGCCAGACTGAGACAGGCAATTTTGTCTGAAGATTATGATATGGTGATAGACATGAGAACTTTGAACAAGGGTCGACCAGATGATACATTTGATGTGTTTTTCAAGAAGTTGGATGAGGAAGTTTCTACAGTAACTGCGGCAGATGAACGTCGGCATGGTGATGTTGCACATTTTAGCAAATATATCTCTGTACGAGATTTGATAGAACAAACAGCAAAGAAGTGCCCAGATGGAACACCAATACCCTCAGAGAGCACTGTACTTTTTGCCTTTGTGCCAAAAAATTCTTATGTAGAAACTGCTAAGTTATACAAGGGAAGAATAAACTTGCAGCATAAAGTGCAGTCCAGACAACTGAGAGCATCCCATGTTGATGAACATTATTGTGCAGCCATATTTCTGAACATGAGGGAGTATAGTGTGATGAACAGAGATGAAACATGCTTTATTTGTCTTGATGATAAGGCTAAGATAGATTATGGAGAACCTGGTTTAGCAATATCTAGTGGTGTGAGAGGAAAGAAAAGCATTGTGCCAGTATCCACAGCTTTATGTGCTCTAGATCATGATGTGGCTTCAAAGGGTTCTTTGACTCCATCAGTGGCTTTGGTTGTAGATATACCTGAAAGTGGGTCTCGCACAGATACATTTTACAGAGGACAGGTATATGTGACACTAAAGGACTCGGTTTTTCAACCATCCACTCCATTTCGGCATGCTGCAGAATTATATAAAATTCTGGATGGGAATACTAAACCAATATTGATGTTATACACTGATGGAGGTCCAGACCATCGGACAACATATGGAGCTGTCAAATTGTCTCTCATCATTTTGTTCAAGTTACTCGACTTGGATATACTTATTGCTGCACGAACTGCTCCTGGACACTCCTGGGCCAACCCTGCTGAACGGATTATGAGCCTTCTGAACTTGGCGTATCAAAACATCGCCCTTCACAGATCAGAAATGAGTAGTCACTTTGAACAGCTGTTAAGGTCATGTAATTCAATGACGGACATCAGGAAAAAAGCAGAAAGGGAAAGAGGATTAGAAGAGGCTTGGATTCAAAGTCTTGAAAGTATCACAAATCAGCTCAATGATAGAACTAGTAGGGTTCAATTAAAAGGAAAACCATTTATGCCATGCGAGCCAGCATCTAAAGAGAACATTCAAGGATATGAGTCAAAAGTGTTTGATTTTATTGATCCAAATATGACACTAGGGAAGTACACTCAAGCTGATTTGAGGAAAGTTAATGGTTTCAAATCATTTGTAGAGAAACATTGTGTGGAGAGGAACTACATATTCCAGGTAAACATTTATTAAATATATAAACAACACTTGAGATATCTAATATTTTGCAAACAATGTTTTAATATGCAACATTAATTTTAATTGTTATTTGAAATATACATAGGTTTGGTGAAAAAGGTAGGTATTCCAAAGAGTAGAGATGGTGTCAGGCTATTAATAATGCATGTTTATATCATTTTGTGTGTGCTAGAAACTAACTATATTGTAAATCTGTCTCTTATTCATAAAATGCTTAACTGTTTCCTCATTTCTTTAATATCTGGTAAATGCCCAGGCTTTCTTTGTCACTTTCCCCTTCTTTTACACTTATGATATAAAATATAACTAATTAAAATCCTAGTATGTTTTGAATTACATAATTATTCACTATTCAAATTTGATCTAAACTATCAAATTTTATGACATGTAAAAGTTAAAATAAAAAGAACTATAAATGTTTATACATATGTCTGAAAACTGGTATTCTTAATAGATATATTAAAATGTAAAATTAAAATCAAGAAGTTTAGTTTAAAAAGAAAACAGTTACTGAGAATCCTATAGAATTTGTCATTTGACACAGTAATTAAATAAATGAATTTAAAATGCGATTGAACTTTTTGTGTAATAATAGGTGAGGAAATGTGAGGACCTAGGTTGCTGTAGGCCTGTGCGTAATTCCAGTGGAGAACTGCCGCCATTTCTTCCAGATCCAGTGATCAATCCTGATGATCCCCAGCATTACAAGAAATTCCATGATGTCATAGGGACCAATACCACAGAAGAGGACATGCCCTCTAGGATAAATATGCCACTTGCTAGAGTAGCAGAAGAGCACCAGGTATCAGACAAATTATTTGATCTACGTGTAATGATTTTATGAAAACTTAAAATGACTTCCTGGCTTGAATGTTGAAAAGTTGGTAGAGAATTTATTTGTGTATTTATGCATTTCTGTTAGGGTTGTCCAAACCGGATATTGGTTGCACAGAATGTTCGTAAAACAGTGACATGTTTGGAGTGTAAGAAGCCCAGGTGTATTTACAGTCGCAAGCACTTAACTGCGAGGGAAGAAAGAAGTCTCACTAGAGTGTTGGAGCGATATATGTATACATGTGGCTCCTTAATTACACCTGATGGTATGATTCATTAATTTAAATACTACATGTGTATTTAAAAATTGAAAATGTTTACAATTTATAATGTAAGATAAAACTCTGTTAAAAGCAATGCATTTTGATAATCAGGCCTCATATTCTTTATATTTTCAGGAGATAGTCTGCAAGGCACAGTCTTTGTCAGACTTCAGTTGGCCTGTACTACACCTGTGGAAATAGCGTATTACTCTGCCAATGCTGTTGCCCGTAAAGATGTCTGCTGCTTTTGTGCGTCCTCCGTCGACATCATAGATGATCAGGACCTTTTGAGAAAGTACAGGGTTGTACTCCCCATGTGCAGGGAATGTAAATCTCGTGGGAAAAATCACATTTGTCGGTTGCCAAAAAAGAACTGATGAGGCCTGATGTGTTGTGATATTTCAGCAATAAAAAGATTGAATTCATTTAGAATGCTTTAATTTTCTTTTGCTTTATAGTAAGGTGAAATCTAAGACATAGTTAATACCTCTATATAATCGAAATTAATTTCTGACATTTATTCTCAAAAAAAAAAAAAAAAAAAAAAAGGCCTACCTACCTACTCACACCTAAAATGATGAGGCGCGTTACCGCAAAAAAACAATTTTTTAAGGATGGCCTTACATGTTTGAAGCAACTTAAATATAATCAATATTCGAATTTCTCTCTGCCCTATATCGATGCATTTTTTCTAACGTCTCTGTAGCCTTATTGTGACATCAAGTTATCGCACGTTTCTCCGTGTTTATTTCTACGCATGAGTATACACGAAAATGGTTTTCAAATCAATTTCACAGTTGGCTTAGTAGAGAAACACAGCGAGTGTAAATATTAGTGATTTAAAGTACTAGATTTATAATGTGCTTCAATGTATCATAATATTTCAAAATGATAATGATTCTTACATTTGCAAATGGAAATTTGTTCGTAAATTGACAGATTGAAAGGGTCGTTTTTGAGTTAGTGAAACTACCTCTTCAAACCCTTCGACCTCAGCGTGTATGGAATACAAGTCGAGGTTAAGTCAAAAGTGTATGTTTCACTTTGATGAAAGAGATCGTACGAATATGATCAGTTTGGGTATCGAAGTGGAACATGTACATATTAAGATGTTAAAATATATTACCCGGGTATCAAGTTTTGTTTTTGTGGCCGTTGACCTCACTCGTCACCTGCTCAATGGCTTTGATTACCGACAATAGGTTTTTTGAAACACACGATCTGTATTTGGTGACGTCTTTTAATAAATGGAAAATTCTTGAATGGGGTTTGAGAGAAAGGTGAAATCAATCATACAAATTTAATAGTTTGCTTTCGTCCACTATACTTATATAGTGATGTGACTTGGAAAAAAAAACATAATCTAGTTTTCTTAACTGAAAGGTTGGAATACAAAGACTAGCATTGCAATATAATTATAAATAGAAATCAATAATAAAAAATAATGAAAAATATCTCTGAATGTGAAATATTTATTTCAATGTAAGTAAACAGCATTTTAAATTACTTATAATTTGTAACATGTATATCACATAATTTGAGAGCTTCAGTCAAAGTTTTCTTCGGTTTCAGTCATTGCCCTATTGGATCTGTCAGTTGTCTTTAAATAATCATAATCAAAGAGATGGAGGAAACTTCCTTTAGAATTCACACCGCTATGTACATGTAGGCACCACAACCATCCCTCTTTGTCAACTGAGAGCGATGAGATGTTTAATAAACCATCTTCTGGCCAAACAACAATTCTTAGAAACTGACCACCAATATCTAACATGTGAATGGAACTATCACTTTTGTCCGCAACTAAAATGTTGTCATCTAGATCTAGACATGCATATGCCGCCGAAAATGACGAATTTGAAAATTTTTGCTTATTCCCTTCATAAGTAAACAATTTGGATAATTGTTGGTCATACACTTGAAGTTTTGTTTTACATATGATAGCTATTTGTGATTTGGTATCTTTCAGGACACAAAGTTTTGCAACTTGTGAAATGTTTAATTCCCAACCCTCTTGATGTGAAATTACGTGAGACTGACCATTTTCGGTCACTCGATATATTAATAAACTGTATTTGTAACACTTATCAGTGGGAAAAAATATATATTTTTCAGCTAACAAAGATATACCTAATTTTTCATTTTCCTCTACTGCCAGTATTTTCTCTGGTTTCTGGACTGAAAACAAAGACATGCATTTTCCGTTAAGAAAATAAATACTTAATTCTGACCCATATTTCCTTATGCAAAGAAATCCACGTCCCGATGAAAGTCCCACACAACCGTCTACATTTTTAAGGTCCGCCTCCAAACAATTATCATATGTAACTGTACGAAGATAGTCGCCTACATGCATGAACATTTGCCTACCAGAAAAAAAATATCTCTGAGAAAAAAACATACGCCAAAAGTGGGTTTAAATTGGAAACAAATGATTCGATTCTCTTGATCTTTAATTTTCCTCTTGCAAAACAATATCTTGCTGCCAATTTTGTCATGGAAGGGAGATTTCCTCTCAATTTGACGGTCCTTATCAGAAGAAAGACATACATCCCCTTCTACGACTACTACCTTTCCGAACAGCTCCTCCACTTGCCTTTGATTGAGAATTTTGGCAGCTTCGAATGTAACATTCACTGGGTCATTAATTTTAATTTCCTTTTCAAGCCGTCGTAGTTCACTGTGACAATGTAAAATTTTAACGCAGTTTGATTCCGTCTTTGGGTCAAATTCGGGAATTTCCAAATTTTCTATTTCGTTCTTGCTTTCCTGAATTCTCTCTTCACATCCAGAAAAAGTGTCAGATACAGTTTTCTTGAGGTGTTTCCCAATGCCTCTCACTTCCTCAATAATGGCGTCCTCCCTGCTGTTAATTTCGTCGATAAGCTTAATCTTTCTTTCTTTTAAGGCTTTACATTTGCAAACCATTTCATTTTTTACCTTTTCAATCAAGGAAGATTCACCATGTAATGCCTTCATCAGTTCCCCTTGTTGCTTTTCAACATAAACAGTCGCCTCACACATTTTATGTTGTAAATGAGAAGTTGAGAAGTTGTTATTCACTTCATACAAACTGGGCATTCACAATCCTCACAGTATATAGGCATTAAGTTCTTATTGTGAGATTTGCACAATATATATTTTGTACTGTAATCCATAGTAAAATTGATTAAAGTACAAATAGTTCCTTAAAAGTTTATGTTTACACAGCAAAATGTTCCCACCGTGTTTAAAATTATCTGTTTACAGTATGGTATAGCCAGTGACTACGTACGAAGTGCAAATCATGGAATTATTACATAACTTTACCAGTTCTTTAAAATATATAACGTACTATATCGAATTTAAAATCGTTGCCATTTTTTTTCTAAATTACCATACAACATAGCATGTAAAGCAGTATTGGTAAATTTTAAAGTTCAACATTAAAGACAAATAAACAGACCTGGGGCCCGTTTTACAAAAGAACTTACGACTAAGACCAAAAACTTCAAATTATTGTAAAATTTTGCAAAATTAATAATTCTCTTTTAAATTGTCTGTGTAAAAATATCTTACCACATTCTTTATGAAATGTTTTAAATAATTTTCGGTATAATGTTAATTAAAAAGTTATATGAATAATTATACTTGGTCGTAAGTCGTAAGTCCTTTTGTAAAACGGGCCCCTGAACATATTGCAAGATGTACAAATTATGAACAGAGATGGATTGAAAACACAGATCCGTCTCATGAAAAGACAATACCAACTTTAACAGATGATATCAATTAAATGGAGGGTGATCAGAGGATAGAAAATGATACATGTAGTTATGATATAGAGCTATTAATAAATAAATATATTTAATTATGAATACCTACATATTATTACATTCTCATTGCAAGATCACCATTGTCAATTTTAAATAAAGAAATAATTGAGAAATACATGTAGGACAAGAAAAAGTGAGTGGTTACACCAAAACATCTACGCAGAGGAAACCTATATTCCACCCAGTTTCACCGGTAGGGGACTAAAAAATATCAGAGTAACAAAAATAAATTATATCATTTTTACAAATGTAAAATATTTTCAAGCATGTGTTTTCGTTAGCTTAGGTAAAATGTTCATATTGGTATAATAAATGTTATTTTTACACAAGAAATTAACGTATGATTTGTTTCAGTTTTGTTCTAACATCTACAAAACATTTTAAATTCATAATATTTTATATATGTACTAAAAAGACTCAAAGGTATTTAAAAATCTTATATTGGAATTCCGTTCAGAATAAACCCCTAAGCGACATGTTTTCATGGTGTATCAAAGTTGAAAAAAAATTGGTATAATTGTGTAATACCACATGGGTTAACAAATGCTCATATAAAACAGGGGCGGATCCAGCAATTTTGGAAAGGGGGGTTCCAGTGTACTCAGCACTCATGCACAGAATCAAACCACGGCCACTTCAAGTCCGTAGCTACATTTATAAGAAAGGGGGCCTGCAAAAACAGATGACAAGCAAAAAAAAAAAAATAAATAAAGTGCCCCGCCACAGCATGATACGCCCGTCAAATATTGTTCAATAATCA